TCGGATTTTTTCATTCAACCCTTCCCATTTTAAAAATGGCAGAAAATATACTCTGAAAATAATCTTATGGGATAAATAACCCTTTCCCAGAATTTCATGAAAAATAGTCAAAACCGAATTTAGTGCCTTCATTTTTTGGCCCTGACACAGTTTGCAACGCTAAATTGGGGGTACTGTATCAGAAGAAAATTTAGTCAAGTGCTTCTACCACAAGGGTTTGCTTGCAGAATTGTTGGCTCTTATTCAAGTGTTGTTTTATAAGAGATAAACTAAAGGAAAGGTTCGAGGCAGTAAACTGTTTTACTGCATTTGAATTTATTTTATAAATTATAACAGCATATAGACGAGAAAATTCAATTTTTTCACGAAATTGCTGATCAAGTTAAATAGTGCAACTGTTTCCTGTAGTTTTACATCAAGTTTCCAATATGAAGGCACACAATTTAAAGATCAGGCTGCTGCTGGAGTGATGTTTATTTTTTTTAGATTACTCCAGTTATTGAGATGCTCTTGGCTTTGGACGAGGACAACCAACGAATTCCTCCCAAAAGAAACATGCAAATTCCGAAATATTTCAATTCTTTTATAATTTTCAAAATTTGGAAAACGAACATTAATTTTTGGTGGTGTATACTTTGTCCAATTGTTCACCCAATATCGAAATGTGATCAAAAATGTTCGGAAGAAAGTCTACGTGGAAAATGAGATGCAACAACACGCTAAACTGCTGTAAAGATTCACAATTGAACGAAGATCTGAAAAATCGGCGAAGGTTTCCGAAATACACAGAGACAACTTCGCACCGTATACGAAATACAATACAATACCATAAAATTATCACAATACTATACCTTCAACTGGTTTGTTTGTCGCATTCTTCTCACTCGTCTCTGACGAACCTTAAACTCTAAATTCCGATAAAGGTAGTGAAAGTTAAGCCTGAGTAACATTTAAAACGAGATAAATCACGCCCGTAAGAGTTATATACACCTGTATATAATCGTTGCTTACGAGCAACCGATATCTGATCAAGACACAAAGCTTGAATCGGACGCAATTATACCGGAGTTTTGCAAGGTTTTGTATTTGTTCCATCACATCAAGTTTATATTCAGTACTGTTGCAGCCTTGCAGGGTGACACGATTACGTGTAGAATTGCAGTATTGTATTACAGTATAACGCAAATACAATTTTAGTCTAAATCAAGCATCAAAAGCTGCGAAAGTATGAGGATCAATGATGCATCTTATCTTCAAATTAAACACAGATTTTCCCTGTTGAAGTAGAAAAAAACAGCGAGGGAGGTGGTTTCAAAAATTCGAAATACTTCTCCACCATTGAAAAATTCTATGAGCCCATACAGTATATCCGCTCGTGATATTCAATAGAAAGCACCAATTGAATTTAATGAAAAACCTTCAATTTGAAAGGGGAACATTTGGAAGCTTCAAAATTATGGACCACTATTTTGGCCTGCAAGGACTCTCCACCTCTTGAGTGTAGCCCTTTCATTGAAAAAGGTTTTGATTTGGCCCTTGGCCACACAAAAGTTGGGCAGCATCATCATAGAACAACTTAAACAGTATATTAAAATTGATGTCCAATAAACAATACATGCATACAATTTC